CTTGTGACAGTCAAACTTAAATTTAGGGTCAACAGAGCTGAAAATAGAAAACCTTAAATCTTGATTCTTCTTCTACTGAACTAATTGATGGATGATCATCAAACTTTGTCTGTAGCATTCTTTGGTAGCCGTATGTCAAATTTGCTCATATTGATTTGATTGGCTCATTTTACGGGTCACTAAGCTAGAAATAGAAAAAAAAACCTTTAAACATCTCCTTCTACTGAACTACTCGATGGATGATCATCAAACTTTTTCTGTAGCATTCTTAGGTAGTCTTTTATCAAATTACTTGAATTACTTTGATTGGCCCTTTTTAGGGGCTGCTAAAGCTAAAAATAGAAAAACTTAAACATCTTGTACTGAACTAATTGATGGATGATCATCAAACTTTTTCTGTAGCATTCTTAGGTAGTCTTTTATCAAATTGCTTGAATTAATTTGATTGGCCCTTTTTAGGGGCTGCTAAAGCTAAAAATAGAAAAACTTTAACTATTCTGTATGATGAATAGATAAAACTGACTGTTTCTTTGTAGGGCTAAATTGCAAGGTGTATTAAGGTTTTGAATTTCTAGAATAGACACTGCCCTTAGCCTGCTAATCGCAATAGATTCTGTGCTGTCTGATCATAGTCTGCATTGTCCACTTTTCATTCAGTAAATATTTTTTAAAATTTCTTAAAATGATGAATGGTTTTGTCCCGGATTGAAAGATGGACAAATTCATTAAAGATATTTAGCAAGATCAGAGTTAATTTGAAATTCATGTATAATATGAATGTTAGGAGTAACTACTGGTGTCTATCTGTCAATCATGAAGCAAGGATATGGTGAGAAATGACAATGACAAAATTATAAAAGACCCTGTTTTTAAATGTGTTTTTAAATGTCAAGGTTTTCTGTCTCAATAAAATTAATTGATATTTATGTTTTTGTGTTCCCATAAGATCTGTATTTCTGTGTAGCAATAAATCATGGAGATACAAGTTTGCATGCTATATTATTAAGTAAGAAACTCTGTAAAGCTATGAATGAGCTGATGGACAGGCAACTTTTATTTCAATGAAATTTTGACCACTAATTACTATACAGATTATTGCACCCTATTTTACATTTAGATAGGGGAATACATTTGCTTAATATGCTTTCAAAAAGGCCAAGCTTCAGCTCTTGGATTGCACTGAGTATGATTTAAAAAAATATGTATGTTAAATTTCTATGCTGTTAATGGTATCTTCGATTTCTAAAGATAATTATCATAAGATGATGACCTACATATTTAACCACAGTATTAAATATTCAAATATTGACTTCTGCTTTTTTGCTAAAGGGCAGGTTGGTTACATGCATTAACTGAAGCGGTCCATGAACAGGTTTCCATTTCACTGTATATCCAATGTAAAGGCATAGGCTTGCAATAAACAAAAAATAAGATTTGAAAGATATTACAAAAGTAAGAAGAGATACTGTCCTATTAAAGTGGCAATTTAATTCACACCACCTGGCAGTATCAACTTATCTTTAGAAATTAAATTATATTTTTTTAGTTTTTTATTGAGGAAAAAACCCAGCAGCTATATGTAAATTGACTATTACAACAACATTTGTGATTATTGTATATTCAAATGTTTCAAAGTATGTCTAAATAAGTTTCTACAGAATGGATTTTGTATCATTTGCCTTTCAAATTCATGGTGCTTACATTGGAAAAGTGTGGCTGACTGGGATGTTACATCATGCATTAAAGTCGCCTTTAGCTTTTATTTTCAGTTGGTGAAACATTTTTGTGTTGTTTCAAACTAAGTATTTTAGTATTTTTATCTTGGAAAAGTGCATCATATTTTTGTTCAGCTTTCTTCAAAACAGCGTCCGGAGAGCAGAAAGCTATTTATAACATGTCAGTGATGTTCATTTCTAAAAATAGGAGATAAGGAAAATGAATCGGCAGCTCTACTAATTTAAATATAGAGTGCAGACCGGCAGATTTGGGGTATTGAGGGGTTTCCTTATTGTTTATGTATTCTATTGTCAGTAAATTTCATTTTTCACCTTAATTAATCTTTTGATTAAAAAATCACAATTATATGAAACTATTTATCAAAAAAAAACATATGTAACATTTAGAAATGCTGAAGGCTGCTTTAAGTTACCTGTTGATTGAAAAACATGACTGAAATATTGACTTTAATTAAGTCTTGTTTGTTGTTGAATGTTTTTACTTAGTATTATATATCATGGGACAAAATACATTAGCCTTCAATGATAATTTTATTGATTGGCCATACAGTTAGTGTTTAATTTTCATTTTCTTGCAATTTAGTCTTGTACCACTGGTCCTGTGCTGTCATTGCCCTCACATATTTGATTAGCTGTTGAAATTTCCTGACCAGTATGGTGAAGACATTTAAGTGTATGATAGTATAAGAGTTCTCTGACTTCTTTCATAATGACAGGACATTCCTAAGATTTGGTTCCTGATCTTTTCTGACTTTATAGGATTTCATTAGTCACGCAATGTTACTGGTGACATATTAAATATATATTATATGAAAGCAAGAAAGTCATGAGCGGGAAATTATACATAAAAAAACATACCAAAAATACTTCAACTAGATGATAGAATGTTCTCCGTGTTTGATATATTGAGGAAAATGTTATATAAGTATAAAAATGATCTGGGTTTGTTGACACCTAAATGATATAAATGTAGGTCTTCTTATGTATGTTTTATGGCTTTTTTTTTGTCTGCTTGACTACCTAAAGAATAGTTGAATAATGTTTGATCCAAATTTCAATTCAATTCTTATAAGCCACTGAAGGTATTCTCTTGACATGTCACACACTGTCCTTAAAATAATGTAGGTCATGGACATATTAGTGTCACTGCTTTGTGAATATTTAAGAAAGCCCCTGATCGAGGTTTTGTATGCTAGTTCCAACAACCATTGTTGAAGGTATTCACAAATATTTGATCATAATCATAGCATTTTGCTGAAGTTCAAGACCCATAACTCTAGCATATATTTTGACTGAATTATGCACCCCTTATTGAAATTAGAATTTTCAGGTTTTTAAGATTTTAACATGCATTACAGGTATTTACTTATGAAAGATCACACATGTCTTTGGTTCCTGGACAAAGACCCATAACTCTAGCACATATTTTGCCTGAATTGCACCCCTTGATGAACAAAGAATTTGCTGGTTTTTAAGATTTTTACATAAAAATTCCACAGTCATAGGTATTCACATCTGAAACTTCACACACTTGCCTTTAATGACACAATTTTATGTCATGGACAAAGACCCATAATTCTAGCTTGGATTCTGTTTGAACTATTTCTGACCATTATGAGTTTGGTCAGACTGCATGGCTGTGTGAGATGACCTGACTATAGTTATAGGCTATTAATATAACCACTTCAGCAGGTGAAGGATTAACTTGCTTACCTAGAATCCTTTGCCCCTAAATACCACATTGGGTTTGAATGAAGCTATGAAACATTGAATACTTTCAAAATGAAGAGGCTATACCAACAATATGATGGTAGCCTGATGTTTCTTCCTACCAGCCTGACATCTATACCAACAATATGATGGTAGCCTGATGTTTCTTCCTACCAGCCTGACATCTATACCAACAATATGATGGTAGCCTGATGTTTCTTCCTACCAGCCTGACATCTATACCAATAATATGATAGTAGCCTGATGTTTCTTCCTACCAGCCTGACATCTATACCAACAATATGATGGTAGCCTGATGTTTCTTCCTACCAGCCTGACATCTATACCAACAATATGATGGTAGCCTGATGTTTCTTCCTACCAGCCTGACATCATTTTGTCTGAAATAATTCACAAAGGAATACCTCCATAATGGTATCTTCCTCTGCAAACAACAAAAAACTGGCACAGTCAATAATTCAGTGCAGACACATAGACAGGCAGAAAGAAGGTTTATAAAAAAAGTCAGGCTCCTATATTTGAGATGAAAGTAGACTATTGAAAATTACCTCATTAGCTAAATGATGCATTATAGATATTGTACTTGGCAGTTTATTTTTGTTTAGACCTCATTAACAACATTACTCTCCCTATTAAGATAACAGGAGTCCAAAACTGATAAATGAGTTTATTTAAAGGCCCATCATGCTGAAATTTTTTATGTACTTTAAAAATATGCTGAATCAGAATCTAACAGGTCTGATATTCTGCAGGAGATAAAACATTGTGTATGGATTCAAGAAGAAGTGGCACCTTAAACATTACAAGTGAAGATTTACAAAATGAACATTGTATATCATAATGTATAGACCATGCCAAACTATGACATTGTTTGACCTCTATTCAGAATGTTCATATCGACCTGTGCATTACTCATAAAAGGAATAATTTTTTGGTATAAGGAATATATTTTTTGTATTTAGGGCATGTAAGTTTTCGGGCTGATACTCCCACTATAAGCATGCATCTTCATATTTATAAGTGGTAATTATTGTCCATTATCATCTAGAAAGGGTTGAACTTCAATGTTTCAGTTTGAAAAACAGCTGTAGACTAGTTAGATACTAAAATAGAGGTGATAACAGGAATGAACACATCATTCCAACCTACTAGTCAAACAAAATAAATAAATGAATAAAATAATAGGGTTTTATTGTAAGCGTTTTAATACTTTATTCCTTATCACTTATATTACTTTTTAAAGATTTTTTTGTAGTAATTATTAAGGGAGTAGGTTGTTTTGTACTATAATAGCTTTTACTGCATCGTTAATTCTTTTTGTTGCTTAACTGAATATATACAGTATTAATTTTTTTTTCAGGGAGAAGCTTTTTTTGCACTATAATAGCTTTTACTGCCTTTCCTTTTTTTGTTGCTTATATACTTGTTTTATATTATAAATTACTATAATAGCTTTTATTGCCTATTTTACTTTTTTTGGCTTAACTGAATATATACGGTAATGTTGTTATTTTTTCCATTTCTCTATTACAGACTGTCTGCAAGAGTTCCATTGATAGCAAGAGTGGGTAAAAAAAACTTGCCAAGACCTGTAGCTGAATAGTCGAAGTCTCCTTTAACCTCCTACCATCTCAATCACCAGCTATTTGTCTGTTTTATCAATTGATAATAGAGTATGATTTTGTGATTTGGCTCCATTCACAAAAAAAAAAAAAACACATCGAAATACATCAGAGAACTTTAAAATGTGATTAAATAGAAAGTATAAGTGGGATGATACCAAGTTGCTGTGGCTGATAGATTTGGCTGATATGTCCTGTTAGGGTTTATTCAGAGGAAGTTGAAATATTTGTGACTTTGAAATTTAAAAAAAGAAGTGATAAAAAAAGTGAAATTGTGCAAAATTTGAAAGCTGTGATGGATATACCAAAAAATAGCTCATAAAAAAGGGATGAGTTCATCAATATAGTGCCAGATAGATAGTGAAATATTGCAGAAAGTGAAATTGCAGAAATACTGCAGGATTTATTGGGATATTATCTAGTAATAGTTCAAGAGACTGGTTTAAATAGAAAAGTGAAGTGAATTTGACAACCAGTTTACATTGTGAGTGTATATAAATAAAATAAGATGGAAAAATTTCCACAGAATATGAATAGGGAGGCTTTTCATATGCACTTGTGTTTTATATAAAAGTGTTTTTTTAAATAATTTCTGTGGATTGATGAATCAGAATCAGAATTCTGGAGGCTAATCAATTTGTTGATTATTTTTTTATCTTTAGAAAAACTCATCTGAGTAGATACTAGAGAGTAGATTTTAGGAAGTATTTGCTCAAGCAAAAGGATAAATGTGAGAATTATGCGTTACCACGGAAGCCATGGATATAATCCCTGAGGAGTGGGGCGGTATACATCTTCAGCCAAATTGGTATAATGGTAAGTCAGCACCATAAAATATGATATGTTTTATTATTATAGCAATTCTGTCTATTGAATATAATATGATGAAATTTGATTTTATGGGGGATCTTGGTATAATAAAGGTGCAGATATAAATCAAGAAAACCATATTGTGGCTGATTTAATGAAAGCAATCCCAAAATTTGTGCTATTATTGAATAGCATAATGAGAAAGAATATTTTTAAGTTTATGATTTGTGGGTGTATACATATAAGTAATTTGTTGTTGGTATGTTGATGTTTCAGAGAAAAATGAAAAGCAAAATCATCATCATTAAGTAAAGTAAGAATAAAAGCAAGCGATAGCATAAGTAATTAAAATTGTGATAATTGCACTTTCTATCTTCTGTTCAACTTTCTTTTTTTCCCCAATCAGTTCTGTATGAGTTATCAATCTAGTTTCAACTCTTATGGAAAGATAAATAGATAGGTCTATTGACATAGAAGAAATAGTTAAATAAAACATTCATTTTCTTGATAAAAAAAAATTGCTAGTCGACACAACTTCATATATTAATTTTGTGTTATAACAGTAAAAACTTGAAATTTATAAACTTAGTTATGTTTTGACTTTGGCTGTGAATAATGTGCCATTAAATGCTCCAGTGCCACCCTATGCTTAACAAGTTTCTTGCTTGCTGTACTAGGTAATAAAGCATTTAAGGTTCGAACTTTGGATTTGTGAGTTTAAGCCCTGGAAGTGGGACAAAATAACTTTAGAAACAAATTGATTGTAACAATTTAATTGGTGACTATATATTTGATATGGCATTCCTCTCCAATGGTGTTGCAACTGATTTCTGTGGAGAAGTTGATAGTTACTTGTGGAGAAAGGTTAACACAGTGATACAGAATCTAGAAACACTCATTAGGTTACACTTACCATTGGTGTTGACTGCTATTAAAATAAGCTAAACCAAACTTAACAGACAAATATAACTTTTTTTTCTTTTCTTTTTTTAAACTAGCTCACTAGCTTACTAGGTCAGTTTATGTATATATGGTAAAATTTGAGATTTTATTATCTTACACTTAAGTGTTTTATCTGTGCTGGAACAGTGTCATCTTACATTAAGAATTGAGATTTTTTTGGGCAAACAATAGTAGAAAATAAAAACACCTGCATAAAAATGTGTACAGTACAAGATTATTTTGATAACTTCAGCATTTTTTGAAGTTTTTTGTAATATGATATAGCTATAAAATTAAGTTTTCTGCGCAGGTACTGGCAATTTCTTTCATCTGGAAAATTGCCTGTGTACAAGGATTCAAAATGGACTGATTTTTAGGGCCAAATTGGGAAATTTGCCTAAATTCAACCCTATTCCTGTTTATACCCCCCTCCCCCTATTTCTGAAGATTTTTTTGTCAAGATCATCATTCTTTTAAGTTTGAAATGATATTGAAATGATAAATTAATAGTGTTGTATCCAAATTTAATATATAATGGTCAGTCTGTTGTTTCTGTTTCTAAACTTTCCCCTATTAATTCCGTCTGTGTTGCACTTTTCCACTCTCCATAGGCCCTTTGAGTGAAAAAATCATTGAAATGCCTAAACTATTTTCTAGTTCAGATAAACTTTTGACAGTTACTGTTTCAAAAATAAGCATAACAAGTTTTGACTTAAAGATCCTGTAACTCGATTTTTTATGTATGATGCTCAATTGAAGATTTATCAATATTGTAAGTTCCTAAAAGATATTACCAAATGTACATTACAAAGTTCCAGCTAGGATAGGATATTCGTTAAAAGCTGCCATGATTGTCAGTATTAATTAAGAGCTTCTTTTTAAAAAAAAATAATATGAAAGCATAGCATTGCCAAAGTTAATTTTAATTTATTTAATATAACAATATCATGTACAGAAAATCACTGAAATATGAAAAATTACTAAGAAATGGAAAGCGGGATATTGATTGTCTGTTTTCCTTTCTTTTCTTCTATTTCTTTTTTAAAAAGAAGACAACCTTCCAGACAGTTCTCATATTTGTCTGCATAATGTGTCAAGTTAGCAAGACTTTTTATCAGTAATATCATAGGTCAATTTCTTTGTATCACAGCCATTTATATAAATAGTGTTATTTTATTATTACTTAGATAGTCAGAAGATGGGTTGCTTTAAATACCAATAGGAAAAAAACAAACTTAACTGCTAAATTGTGCTTAAACCAGGGTTTTTTTTCCAGGATTTTGGGAACATGACCCATATACCCATGGAATTGGGAATTTCAGTGATGTTTTGTTAAAAAATGGAAAAAAATGCATGACTGAAATTTTGCAGTGATTAAGGCCAACATTTTTTTATTAAATGTTTTACGGGACATTTTTTTTAAAAATTGGGTCGGGGGGGATAAATAAAAATAAAAATAAAATTCAATTTTTTGATCAGTCGACCACAAAATAAAAATAAAATGACAAATGAGGTGAACATTTTTTATTTTCGAACATTTTTTTCTAACACTCCAAAAACAGATTTTTTATCCATAAAATCAATGATTTAATAGTTTTGAAATATTTTTGACATAATTTTTAACAAAATAATTGGAAACAAGAGCTGTCCGTAAGACAGCGCGCTCGACTTTTTTATTGCTTGCCAATAAAAAAAGTTTTTGCAGTAAAAGGCAATACAAGAATCTCTGTATTTTTAAAGTGAACAATGGCCATGAGCATTAAGATATTTAGTGAAGAATTATTTTACTGAATTGTGTGATACCCTTGAACACTGCTTGCCTATAATACAAAACATTGACAGTTAAGGGCCATAATTCAAATAAAATCTTTGACAGAATTACCTTCTCCTGGACATGTTTGGGAATCATGATTGTAAACAAGTATTCCAACTTTCAATTAATATCTCAAACAGTTCAGTCAAAAAGTGGACTGGTACTAAAAACTTAACCAAGATTGTAAGTCGATAAAAAGGCCTTAATTTTTAAACAAATCCTTGACAGAGTTACCTTCTCTTGCGTACAGATGGGGGTAATGATGTGAAATAGCATTAAAAGTTTCAAAGCAATATCTCAAAGGGTTAAGGCAATAAGTGGATTTTACCCATATTCAATGTATTTTCTAAGTCAAAAAGGGGCATAATTCTGTCAAAAACCTTGACAGAGTTATGTCCTCTTGTCTGTTGATGAAGGTCGTGATGGTAAACAAGTATGGTCAGTTTCAAAGCAATACCTCCAATGGTTTTTGAAATAAAGTGAGGTGGTACAAAAAACTTAACCAAGCTCAATACACTTTCTAAGTCAAAAAAGGGCCATAATTCTGTCAAAAACCTTGACAGAGTTTATGTACTCTTGTCTGTAGATGGAGGTTATGATGGTGAACAAGTATGGTAAGTTTCAAAGCCATACTTGTAATACTTCTGAAATAAAGTGGGGTGGTACGAAAAACTTAACCAAGGTGTGACGCCAACGCCGACGCCGACGCCAACGCCGACGCCGGGGCGAGTAGGATAGCTCCCCTTTTCATAGAAAAGTCGAGCTAAAAAATGTTTTAAGTCACTTTTGCTTTTGTTTTATGTAAATATTTAATGCTGATCTAGAATTTGTATTAGTTTGTCTTTTCGCATTTAGGGCAAACATGCCACACAACTCCATATTCATTGTTTAGTCTCTTCATTTCAAGAGTATCCAAACAAGGTTGTATTGCCACTCTCAAGCTTTACAATACTGAAGCAAGCTTGCAACCTGATTATAGTGATAGAACAACCAACCTATTATAAGCTTACTGATAGTTTCCTCATGGTAATCCAAATTAAGTTCCTGACAGGATTCTTATCAACAACATCACACAGGGGAGAGTGATTTGAGGTCAGAAACCTTAACCATTCACAGAGGTACAAACATAATATTGTACAATGTCAGTTTCACAAGGTAAATTAATCAACAACTTTAAATTATCTTTAAGAGAGTAAGTTATGTATGTGCAAAAAAGTTTGCAGTTTCTGAAAATTATTCATAGTTCAAAATGATTAGTAAAATGAAAGTCATTGACAGTAAATAGAAAATCAAATGGCATACATTGTTACAAAATCAGGGTTTTCTGTAGAGAATTTATTACAGGCAATTTTTTACAGAAATGTCAAAGAGGACTTCTGCTCATAAATCTTACATTGAAAAAAAGGCCAATTTTCTCAATATTGATCTAGTAAAAAACACATAACTACTGGCCTTTAGTCTACTGTCATGATATAATATAAACTTAATAAATGTTATAGATGACTGTGTTCAATTATAAACAAGCCTTGTATTTCAACAAGACAACAACAAAAAAATCTGTCCACCAAAGAACTTTCAGGAATTTATTATTTTGGTATTATAAATTAATCAATTGTTTTCAAAGATTCATAATAAAGATTTTTTATTATTAATTTACTAACAATAAATGTTAGATTCTACAATGTAAGTAGAACTCGTACGAGTTGAATTTCGATTACTCAATTTTCTCGATATGTCAAAGTAAAATGCAAGTCCAGATTTTCCCCTTATATTTTTTTTATAAAAACCTATACATGAGTCTAAATTTTAATGTTTCAAAGTTTTCTCATGTTCCGTGGTAAATCGAGTAAATATTTCATTCTGACACCTTAGTCGATCAACGACTTTGATCCCGTGCCCATTTAATTTTTTACAACTGTTCTGAAAGTGTAGATGATTCAAATCAACTTATGCAATGTATGTTACTTCCCAGTCGTGCTTTCTAACAGCTTTGCAGGCTATCATGTGTGATAAAATGCTCTAATATTTATTCCTCAAATTGCCATAGTTGTATTGAAAGCGAACTTTTATGACCCCGCGACTTTTCATGACCCGGTGTCGCGTGATATTCACACGGGTTAATTTATTACAAGCTTGTTAAGTTATTGCCCTTCCCTTTTGTTACGCCTTTTGTAACATTCTTGTAAACATCAAAGGGATTAACTTGTCATTTGTTTTAAGCAAATTCCTTTGCTTTACGAAGATTCTACAGTTAAGTACCGAGTAACTTTTAATTTTGACAGAAGTGGGTAAGAGAGGTCGGCGGACAAAATGAAAATAAAAGTTCTTAAATGAACTTTTATTTTTATTTGATTTTCTCTAAAAATACGGTCGGCGGTCCCGTAAAACATTTTATAAAAAAATGTTGGCCTAAATGGATGCAAACAATGACTGTCTAGGATGGCATCTTCAAATATTTAAGGACTATTACATTAAAGAAGCCCTTATTTTCAAAGTTTTTAGAACTTTTTATTCAGTATTTTTATTTTGTAACTTTCAATTGGGAATATTTTCCTGTGGATTGGGAAAATAATAAACTATTTTCGATTGGGGATTTGACCCAATAATGGCTATAAAATAAGCCAAAAAAATCCCTGGTAATCCTTTACCTGCTTGAACTGACATTGGTTAGCCTTTCTTACAAGTATGGAGCCAGGCCAGCTTTAAACTCTTTGAATTGACTGTTTCTGAGATTCAAAACTGAGCAAATTCATTTAACATCTAAAAAAGAGCCCCTTTAACATTTTAATACCTATTTTGATGAATCTGGATTGAATTTATAGCTGCTTTCTAATCTGCTTATATAGTAACACCAGCACCTTTCTTCTATGTATGTTGTGAGTAATAACCCTGCAGATTTTTAGCTTGGCTATTCAAAGTGGGGCAATGCCAATCTTGCTCAGATACCAGAGCATTGACTTTATAACATTGTGTTTGGGTTTTGCATTTTGCATTCTGACAAAGCTCTATATCATTTGGCAGCTTTTGCTCAGTCTTCTTTTAGTTAAAACAGCTAACAATTTAAAATTCAGAAACATAGATTCAGTTTGTTGTTAGATTTAATGGGGGCACAAAGCACAAAATGTCCTTGGCAAGATTGCAGGAAATTGCCATGGGACAAATCAATCCTGCATTAGGAATTTTTTCCTGCAGATATTTAAAGTAAAATTGATATCTTTTAAAGCGTTGAATAATGTACTTCATGGGAATTGAATGCACATTAAAACACTATCATTATTTCAACTGTGTAATATGTTAACTGCTTTTAAACCAGACTTCTAGATTGATGCAGCATGATTATGCCGTTGGTAAAAATATCATGGAAAGGTAATCCATGGGTCACTGGTTCAATCCACGGATGACAATTGATCATGGACATTGTGTCTTATGATCATTTTGTCTCTCACTGCTGAGTTAAAAATCATGCAGGATTAAGCCATTCTGATTTTTTATATCATTTCTTTAATAATATTCTATAATACATTTTTTGTTGACCAACTAAACAACAGGATCACCATTGTTACGGCTTCTTCTTTTTATTGCTAAGTAACAACATAGAATGCACTTAACATCTGTTAATGAAGGGGAAAACAAGCCAATACTTTGATATTTGCCAGATACCTCTACCATCCTAATGCAATAGACTTAGTCTTCTTTATAGATCTATAGAAAGAATAAAATAGTTTACTGTAGGTATTGAAGAGAATCAGCATTTCTATATTTGCTCCACATTTTTTTGTAACAATAACTTGTAAAAAGGCTTTTCTATTGATATCGCTATGGGTGCATATTTCTACTAAGCTCTATATAAGTTAATGGTAGGAAAAGGTATTTTTATGCTAATTTATTTAATTCAACAGTTTTTAGCTCCACTTAACGATTTGTCATGATAGAGATGGCAGTGACATTGCTGTTGGTTAAGTTTCCTTTTCCGGTTATTTACTTAATTACTAACACTGCTGTTACATTGAAATTCAAATATGAATGCACCTTGATGAGTTCCACCTGCAAATCTAATTTTCAGGTCTATGAAGTCAATGGTCAAGGTCATCAGGACTTATTAGATAAAAACATTACACTGGCAATTAAAATAAAGTTCTTGAAAGACCAAAGGAACTTTAAAACTTCAGTTTATAAGGTCAAGGTTATAATGATCTTTGTCATTTTAAGTTTTTTATATTGACAATAACTTCCAATTTGAAATGTGAGTTTTGCCTGTAATGTCCATTTCAGGGTCAAAGGTCAAGGTCAATGAATTCAGGGTCAATTCAAATTATCACCTTATTGTTAACTACCCACCACTGAGAAAATTGGAGTGTGCTGCTTCTCTGACAGATTTTGCATTTAAATGGGGAAAAAAGCAGGTCTTCCTTTTAAATGTAAGATGTAAAATTGTTATATGATAGATAGATCGATTAATTTGATTTAATACAACTTTAAAAGTAAAAGTGAAAAATTTATTAATGTTGATCCTTTGAGTTGGTACATAAATATATATTGCATAATCATTATATCATATCTAAGATTGATTGATCATCTTGTATTGATATCAATGATTGATCATTAATTGATCATTTAAATATGTAATGACCTTGAATATGTTATATAAATTTATTACTTGTGATTCATAAACATATAACATATATTTTAATGATTTTATAATTGTCAATTTGTAATCAGTATTTTGTTTATCCTAGGTAAAGTCAATTTCTAGATCTGTATATAAACCACACTCACATAAGACAACAATTCATTGAATATCCAGTCCTCCGGCCAATCCGGTATGTTGAGTGACCATATAGAAGTGGTCTTGATATTCATCATAAGAGTCAAGCTTTTGCTTTTTATTCATTTACAGGTCCAAAAATTAATAAAACAATTTTCCTTTGATTTAGTATCAATGAAATATTTAAAATAGTCTTTGCTTTTATTCTTTCGCTCATATTTGTCTAGTTTTTGATGACTGTTTTATTTCTCTGTGTTATTTGCTTTTACTTCTTGCATTATATAGCCCAAAATTTTGAGGCACTTTTTGCTTTTACATATTGTCCTATACTGGTCCTAAACTACTTTGTTGAAGTGCTTTTTGCTTTTACAGGTCCTGTACTAGTTTATTGAAGTGCTTTTGCTTTTACAGTTTTACCAATATTTGTCCTGTATTAGAATATTTAAGCACTTTTTGTTTTTACAGTTTTACCAATATTTGTCCTGTATTAGAATATTTAAGCACTTTTTGCTTTAACAGTTTTACAAATATTTGTCCTATATAAGAATATTGAAGCACTTTTTGCTTTACAATTTTACAAAGATTGGTCCTGTACTAGTATATATTAACAATATTGGTCCTGTATTAAGTGATCCTGCACTAGTATACTGAATCAAATTTTGCTTTAACAGTTTTACAAATATTGGTATCGCACTAGCATATTCAAGCAATTTTTGCTTTTATAATTTTACCAATATTTGTCCTGTACTTGAAGCACTTTTGCTTTTACAATCTTACTAATATTGGTCCCGTTTTAGTATATAGAAGCACTCTGGCTTTTACAGATTGACCAATATTGGTCCTGTACTAGTATATTGTTACGCCTTTTGCTTTTACAATCTTACTAATATTGGTCCCGTTTTAGTATATTGAAGCACTTTTTGCTTTTACAGATTGACCAATATTGGTCCTGTACTAGTATATTGTAACACCTTTTGCTTTTACAATCTTACCAATATTGGTCCCGTTTTAGTATATTGAAGCACTCAAGCTTTTATAGATTGACCAATATTGGTCCTGTACTAGTATATTGTTACGCCTTTTGCTTTTACAATCTTACTAATATTGGTCCCGTTTTAGTATATTGAAGCACTTTTTGCTTTTACTTTCAGTGTTTACGCTTACACTAAGCATGCATCCTTTGATGAACACCTGTGTACATATTGTGTAAACCTCTTCCAGTGCTGTGTAAATATTGTGTAGCTATGTATCACAATTCACACGCTCGAACCTGGGACCGTCGTAAAAGTAGGTGGCTAGCATGTTTTATAGTATGCTTTACAGCTTTACATATTGATTTCAATTTTATCTTGCAGTGTGCTTTAACCCTTGCCATGCTAAATATCTTAAATGGACTTGTCCATCCTTCTATTTTGACAAAACTATCTATAAATTTTAGGGAAAATTTGTCAATAAGTACTTATAAGCCCATTATGCCCCAGAAATGCTTTTATTATTTTTTTTTCTTGGTGTCCTATAAAGTTTCCAAAATGATATTCATTGGTCAATTACCTAAACCATCATTTGCATCTTTTGCTTTTTGGAAATAAGTACAGTTATAGTGATTTTGTATAGAAGTCAAAATACTAATTTGTTTACATTTTGTTACCTTTAAGACAAATAATTTCACATTCAGCTTTACATTCTTTTGCTAATAAGCATCTAACATGCATTAAAACTTTTATTTTAAAGGTTACAATTCTCATGTTTGCCCTTTTCTAATGTAGGAAAAGGTTATTCATTTCTGAGGCATAATGTGCCAATAGCAAACTGTGCAGACAATGATGATAAATCATATAACATGGAAGTGCTGGCTGATCTTGGTCTGCCAGTCTGGTCACATGGATAGCAGCAGGGTAAGGGTTAAAGAGCACCTGTGATTTCATCTTACATAGGGGGTATTGCTGTAGGTTGTATAATTATGTTACATATTATATTTCCTTGTGATTATAATTGATATTTGTTGTTTTAGATATTAGAATTATATTCATAGTTTAGATATTTAGATGCTGATATTGAAATAGGAATTGGCAGAGGTGGAATTACATTATAGTTTCATGCAGACTTGTATGGAATTTAATACCTGTTTATATTGTATTAGTTTTTATAAAAATATTGATAAATACTTTGAAGATATTTGCTGAGAAATTAATTTGATAAGAAGTTTATTTGAAAATAAAGCTATACTTTCTTTCACATAAGATAATCCTACTCCCCCTGATGGCATAAATTTAAGTTTTTGATTAAAAGTTTTTCATTATAAGTATTTCTTAGTAAGATTGTCAACATTAAGTCCAATTACTTGCATAATTTTATACATGTAGTTTGTTTTGTTTGTGGGCTCTTTAAAAGAGACATTTCACTCAAAACATCAGAGATATCTTTGTAGAGGTCATGATTGCAAGTCACTGGTCAATACCCAGAACTCTACACATTGGTTAGTACTGAATTGTTCCCCTTTGTGAAATTAGATAATCTTTGCATGGTCCAACACTAAGAATAGATTTAGCAGTGCACTGTCTTTTGACATCTCTTTTGATTATTAAAGTAATTGATAGAATATTGTGCTTGGACAATGACATTCAGACAGGGAAGTTTTAGAGATACAACAAGGAGCTCATGAAAATGGATGGTGAAATGTGACATGGATGGGCAAATGTATTGAAAAGCTGTGAGATACTGTAGATGACATGGGGAGATGTAAAGCATACAATGGAAACCAAAGATGTGGACAGAGGGGCGGAAGATGAAGTGGGAAGTGCAGAAGGCAACAAGGCAGATGCACAAAAGGTAAGGCTTATTTATATATTAGTCTATATACATTTTTATATCTACTGATATGTACATGTTTTTATTTAAAGACATGATGATCTTGCTATCTCTTGAGTAGATTTTACATATGGACTATAAGAGTTAGTACAATTGCAGTGTCACATATGTTTGACCATGGACAAACCCATTTCTATGCTGTTTAGCAGAGTTTTGCTGCAATTGTCTTGTTTGGTATGTTTCCAATGACACTAAAATTATGGAGCTTGTTATTTTTCTGTGGTTTCATATATACTGGAACAGTCTTGTTATGAGGGTTTTATCTGTGGTTTCATATATATTAGAACAATGTTGTTTTCTGTGGTTTCATATATTTTAGAACAAGGTTATTCTCTGTGGTTTCATATATATTGGAACAGGGTTGTTGTTTGTGGTTTCATATATATTGGAACAGGGTTGCTGTTTGTGGTTTCATATATATTCATAATTGGAATAGGGTTGTTGTCTGTTGTTTCATATATATTGGAACAGGGTTGTTGTTTGTGGTTTCATATATATTGGAACAGGGTTGTTGTCTGTGGTGGACAGGGTTGTTGTTTGTGGTTTCATATATATTGGAACAGGGTTGTTGTTTGTGGTTTCATATATATTGGAACAGGGTTGTTGTCTGTGGTTTCATCTATATTGGAACAGGGTTGTTGTTTGTGGTTTCATATATATTGGAACAGGGTTGCTCTCTGTGATTTCATGTATATTGGAACACTCAACAGGGTTGTTGTCTTAGGTTTCATATATTTCACTTACAGTAGGTAGACCATACTGATTTTAGTTTATGAGCAAGGTTTCGCAGATTTAGGAAAAATTATACCAACAAACATTTATTAGAATTTTCCGGCTATGTACTTGTGGCAGATAGACAAAGGGCTCTTGTTGCTGCCATAAAATGTACTTGGTAAACTTAATTATTGCTGTGTTTAAATTAAAAGTAGCTTTTAAGTTTTGAAATTTTCTTGTTACAGGTGCAATGACTTTAAAAAGAGAACATATGCAATGATGGCATCTTGAATTGTTTATCTTTGAAATAAAATCATTGTAAGAAGTTCAGAACTCTTGTCAACCTTCCATTGATGTTGACAACGCTGTTCACTTGACTTAGATTGCATAACAGGTTCATTTGTTTGGTCTACATAGGGGATATTTTCTGTCAGAATAAATTAAAACAATTTGTGAAGTATCTGGGTACTTAACGATATTGCAAGTCATGGTTTCATACACAATATGTGGCATTGTGCACGGTGAATATGGGACGGTTTGTCCTGCATACTTAACAATCATAAAATATTTTGGTTTTAGGTGTTTTGAGATGTATTTTCTATGTACTTTTTTTTTGACAAAGATTGAAGATTAAAGTTAAACTGTAGACATCAAAAGTCTAAAGTATCAAAGTCCCATATCTGTGCTTTGTAATGCATTTTATATTACAGTTACATGATATATGTTATTGTTGTAAATAGTTAAAAAAAGATGACAGCAAGTCATGCTTATACTTAGTTTTAGTCTCATGACCGTGGAACCTGTTATAATTCAAGCAACAAAAAAAAAACAACAACAACAAAAAAATGCAAATTCAGATGTGTGAAAAAGAGGATAGTTTTGAAATGTCAAAATTTCACAATGTGAACATTTTTGGACATTTTTAGAATTGTTTGTCATTTTGATTGAAAGTTCACACCTGTGCTGTCAAATTTGATTCTCATGTTATTTGATTAATAAATTTAATGATGATTGATGAAATATAATATTCAACACTATTTGCTAGATTTTTTTTTATGATTTAGATCATGATTTTTTTATGGTCTACACTACCAGAAAAATTTCTGGCTGTCAGAAGTCAATAGAATATTAATCAAGAAGTTTTCTTGGCAGAAGAGTAAATTTGATTATTTTGTTTTGCTCATAATCCTGCTTCTGCTCAAGTGTTTCTGGACTATGTGATGATTATTTATGTTGCGGAACAAGACACAGTATTTGTTGTTTTTGTTATGCTCTGTCATTTTCTTGAGTAAATATTTTGTAATGTGAAGAAGAGTGGTGATAAATTTCTGACATACCTGGATGTGTGAGCTGCCCTTGATCTCTTGCCAACCTTGTCATTTATGTATCCTCAATTGTTTGTAATTGATACACCATGTTGTACTTGTTTTTTCTTTCTTGTCCTTTCTGTACCTTTGAGTGGGTTTTCATTAAGGATCAGCCTCAAACAGTAGGTGAAAAATAACAGAATGATTAATGATTTGAAAAGAAGCTAAGTCTTGCATTGATTTATGCTAGTATTACTTTGTCATAGAAGTTTAAACTGTGTTTCAATGGAATAGAAAATGAAGAATATATTGTATCAGCTGTAACAGTCACCTTGCTTTTTGTGTGTGATTGGTGTCCCCTGTCTTGCATTAAGGTTAAGGGATTTTAATTTTAAAGTGAGTACATGCTCTAACTACATTCCATACTAATTTGGCCTGCACTGCCCAGAGTTTTACCTGGCCTCGACTGTTATAAACCATTTTTCTGAGGTCTGTCAAATCTCAAGATTTTCATTGGTCAGTATACATGCCTAGCCAGATTCTGACCCAATCAAATACCTGAGATCGGAGCTTTCTTTTTAAAACTGCACAGAGTTTGGCCTGTACTGCACAGAACACTCCAAAATTCTGAAATGAGAGGCACCAATCATCCTGGACTGTGCAGTGATTGACCTTGACTACAGAGCCTGGCTTGGGCTGTACAGTGTCTCTCCTATGTTACATGATGTAGATTCATTTTCAAGCAGGCTTGTTTAAAGAAATTAGCAACTTGAAACTCAACTTAATGGAAGAAATAAATCACCAGGGTGAAGTCATCTATAGTTATTGACAATGAGATATGTCTGTAGCATTATTTATTTTGTACAAGTCATTGGATATGTCTTCTAGAAATATTTCTGCTTTGTCATCTAATGTTCTAAAATAGCTTTGCATAGCCATAAACTTTACAATAATTATATATGTTTGTTTAAAAGAGAATCATCTCCCAACATGAACAGTATGATATGTAATTTTGTAGCTTATATCATAGTATACGTAGTGGAATGACATCTCTGAATAAAGTTAATTTAAGGTAGTCTTATTGTAATGCTTTCATTTCCCAAAATTTCTAACATCGGCCTATATCTTAGCAAATCGGCTATTTCCAGAATTTTTTTTTTCAGAATCTTGGCATAAAATCACTCATTCTTCATAGCTATGTACTAAATTCAAGTTTAAAACGGTTTAAAATTACTGAATACAGAAGATTGTGAAAAATAAAAGTTCTGGAATGGCCGATTTATTATGGTATTGGATTATGTTAGAATTTTTATTGGCGGGGGGGGGGGGGGAAGCATTGCAGTAAGACTACCTTCACTACAAATAAACCCATCATTTATAGTTAGCTCAAAGGTAGAGCGTTTGGTTTAATTCCCAGATGGTGCAGGTCACTTTTGTTGTGATTGATCATGAAATCCTTTCTACAGTCATTCAACTGTATTGTACAGAAGTTATAAGTTGAACTTAGTTCTTTGTCAACAACCAC